CCCCAGAACCTGAACGCATCACAGGATGAAACAGGAATCCAGACCAGGAATGTTGTGTGTGTGTGTGTGTGTGTGTGTGTGCGTGCGTGCGTGCATGCGTGTGTGTGTGTGTGACATCCTGTGGTTTGTAGTGGTACAAATAGAAAATGTTTTGCTTGGATCAAAACCTCTATCATCTTCGTTGGCTCCGCCCCCTCATCAACAATCACGAGCTCAGCCCGGCCACTCCTCTCGTCACGGATACTCTTGGAAACCTGCCAACCAGGGACTTGATCAGCTAACGTGTGATGCCCTGCCATTACAGCGCCATGCAGTGATGTCACCACTTACCAACGTAGCCTTCAGCTTCTCAAACCCGTTGCTTTGGCAACCAGACCACTGGATGACTACCTGTTGGATGCATGCCCACGTTAAAGTTGCAGTGTGATCCAGCTGGTGCCAGCACTGTCCAGCTGAGTCTCACCCGTCCCAGATCCAGAATAAAACTGTCTCCTTTGTTGAAACTCTCCCAGCTGACGGGAACTTCTGTTGCCCTGACAACACGACGGCCTTTGACCTGCAGCAACCTTTGCACTTTTGCATCATTACTCCTTACATGTTTGAACCCTGAAGCCACGCCCCCTTGCTGCAGGGCAGCAGACAGAAGATGAGGTCAGGACCAAAGCTGTCTGACAAGTTTAACGGGCGGTTCTGGCCCGGTGCTCACCATGTATGTGAGACCCGTTTTGAAGTACCCACTGAAGGTAGCCGATTCGTAGCCTTGGACCTCTCTGTACTGGATCGGCTCCCCCTTCAGGAAGTCATCCATCTGGACAGCAAAAATGGCTGCTGCTCCACTTTCATCTATGGAGCACTCGGCACCTAAAGCAGAATCGGCCAATCAGAGAACAGAACCAGAATCACGTGTTCGGGAGTCTCACAACTACATGAATCCAACGACTGATGTCGGTTATGTAGGAGTAGTGCTGCACCACAGAGTAAGGTCCATCTGATTATTGGTTCCTGATCACTGATCAGTAGTTTTGTGTTGAAATCCCTTCTGGAACATCAGCTCAGTCGTGGATTTTGTTTGCTACGTTTGTTTCTGTAACAGTTTTGTTTGCTCTTGTTGTTTGGTTCAACTTGTGTATTTAGTTTTTCAAGGTTGGGCTGCAGCATGCTGCTGCACGCGTCCTCACCCTGCCAGTAGTGCAGGTCGTACTGCAGGTCTCCTCTGCGGTTGCTGGTGCTCTTCAGGACCAAATAGCTGTCTCCGGTGTAGAACCGGCCATACAGACTCTCAGCAACAGGAACCAGGTCCATGTTCTCCACACGCCACACCTGAAGCCCGGCCTTCCTACCTGCACGCTCGAACTCTGGATGGTACACCATGATGTCACCTGTGGTGGGCGGGGCAGAACAGACATCATCTGTCAAATAAACGGTAAATGGTACATGGCCTGTATTTGATATAGCGCCGGCTAGAGTCCTGGAACCCCCCAAGGCACTTTACAACACAATCAGTAATTCACCCATTCACACACACATTCACACGCCGGTGGATGAGCTACAATGTATCCACAGCTGCCCTGGGGCGCACTGACGGAGGCGAGGCTGCCGAGCACTGGCGCCACCGGTCCCTCCGACCACCACCAGCAGGCAACGTGGGTTAAGTGTCTTGCCCAAGGACACAACGACAGCGACAGACTGAGCGGGGCTCGAACCTGCAACCTTCCGTTTACGGGGCGAGCACTTAACTCCTGTGCCACCGTCGCCCCACATACTCCTTCCTCCTGCCATCTGACCACAGCACAGGTGGGTTACCGTGGAAACCGATGCCAAAATTGATTATTTGAAACTCTGATGATGATTTAACAGTAAAGCAAACTGGTATCTGTTGGCCTGGTTACCACGGTAACCACTGGTGATGCAGCTGAACCTGACTCCAACCATCCTACTGCTCATTTAGAAAACCTTTAAGGAGGACCCTCTTTATTATGGCGGCATCATCTTTCTTAAATAACAATAAGAGAAGATCAAAAATGTGCTGAGAGGAAACAAACGAGCTCTTTCAGCGAGAGAAACGTCCTGAAATCACCAACGTCAAAACATTCCTCTTTCTCAGAGCAGAACCAGTTCCTCCTCTCACCTGGTAGGACTTTTTCAGATCCGCATCAGCGTTAATTATTTTAATCACGCAAAGATTTTAACTTTTCTCACTTTAAACGAAGTATTTTATTAAATAATGGACAATTCTGTTCCATTTGTTTCTGTGTTTTACTGCAACTTGATTACACGGAAGCTTTCATGACACCGCGGCGTTTGGATCGTGTGGATGTCTTCATCGTATTTATCACATGAAATCGTTAGATTGAATCAGCAATTTCAGGATGAAAACGTGTGTCTATGTCTACGTGTCATCGCGGGTAACCTGAGCGAGTTAAGACAAAAGACAACAGCTGTTTATCGTTTACCGTCCTCTGATGTCTTTTCCGTGAAACCTGAAACTGATCTGCAGAAGAAGCTCCGATGGAAAAGGTGGGATAAGCGTCCAGCTGGTGCTCAGACTGAGAAGACCTGCAGGTGAAAACCCAGGAAGCCCAACCAGCTGACTGTAGCATGCACTCATCTTTGTGACATATATGCTTTCCGTAATCATAGGTGAGAAGAAAGATGTTTTATTAATAATGAAAGAGGACAGATTATACGACGATGGGCTGACGTCTGCCTCCACATTGGTTTAGACGGAACTTTCATCACAAAATAAAAACTCACCTTCAGCGTCTGTTAGAAGTCCTGCTCAGCTGGGTCCAAGCTGCAATGGAGGATGAAGGTGGTGCTACATGTAACCTTACCTGTCTTCTCCTCCCCCCACTCATGTGTCACACCCAGCTCCTGACACATTCAAGGCTGAACTAAAACATGCGGAACAAGTGCCTGGGAGAGGAGAGGTCAGCGGACTCAAAAAGCCTGCAGGACTTTTACAGAGGATCTGCTGCTCCGTCTGGGGCACGGGTCAGTTCTTATCCTGAACTTCAGGAGCCAAAGTCCTGCAAAGAAGAGCAGAGCTACTAATTAGATCATCAGAACTTAAAGCAGGGGTGTCTAATCCTGTCCTGGAGGGCCGGTATCCAGCAGGTTTTGTGGTTTTTCTGCTCCAACAGGCTTGATTCAGTGGTTGAAACATCTGTGCAGCAGCTCATCAGGCTCTGCAGAAGCCTGTTAATCACCTGCTGATTGAAATCAGGTGTGTTGAAACAGAGTTCAAACTAAAACATGCAGGATACCGGCCCTCTGGGACCAGGATTGTGCAATTGTTGAAATACAACAAATAACTTCACTACGTCTTCTAAAAACATGAGACCTTAAAGAGTGGACTTCCATAACCAGGACTGGAAGTCAGATCCACAAGAGAAGGTCCACTCGTCTCACGTTCTACTAAAGGGTCCTTGCTGCATGCTGCCCCAAAACTTTGGAATGAGCTACCGGCACAGGGAGTGAGCGAGTGAGTGAGTGAGTGAGTGAGTGAGTGAGTGAGTGAGTGAGTGAGTGAGTGAGTGAGTGAGTGAGTGAGTGAGTGAGAGTGAGATAGATAGATAGATAGATAGATAGATAGATAGATAGATAGATAGATAGATAGATAGATAGATAGATAGATAGATAGATAGATAGATAGATAGATAGATAGATAGATAGATAGATAGATAATAGATCTGTATAATATAATAATAGGCTATGTATACTGTAGCTTACAATTAAATGTGTTATTTATGAAAGATTAAATGCTTTGTGGAGTGAAATAACTGGAATTTTTTGGGCCAAACCCTTCTTATTTCATAGAAACATCTTTGGTGTTTATAACAAATCAAACCTTTTGAAAATTGGTTGAAAATTGAGCAAGTTAGAGTTGTTTAAATAGCACATGCACCATACACCCCAATGTCAAGAAAGGGGGCTGCTGTCTGAAGTAAGATGGCCGCCACGTGCCTACGTCGCATCCCATTGGTGAACAGCGGGGGCGAGACATCTAGTGTTTATATATGCATATCTATGGCAAATGAGACGTCTATGTGCGTACGTCTATGTGGTTTTACTTTGAAAGCTCAGCCCGGAAGTAGACCGACGGGTTGATCGACTGGGGTGTTTGTTTACGTCACCAAAAGTCACCGTAAACCGGGCCGAACGGGTCCGGGTCGGAGTGTGAAGATGGAAACGTTCAGCAGACTGAGCAGCTTGCTGCTGCAGGCGCTGGAGACGGTGAGTTAGCTCCTGCAGGAAGATTTATCTGGCTACTTCCGGTTAAAGTTGTTTAAGCCGAAGTTAGTGACAGTGGAGGACAGGTAGTGGGACAGCACGAGCGCGCGACCGGGGACAGGCCAGGGGACAAGTGGGGTCCAGGGCTAACTGGACCTCAGGCGAGTTGGATGAGAGAAAACGGTTGGTTTGTTTACGTCCAGGTGCGCTCACCTGTAAGCTGAGAGCTGCTTTACGTGTGCGCCAAAAGTCTTAACCCGGTTTGTTAGGTCAAAGGTCAAACTGATTGTCTTCCTCAAGTTTTACATGTTTGTCTCAGATGGAGACTAATAAAAAAAAACATTTTATTTAAACCCAGTCCTGATCTAGTTCCCTGAATCCTGATCCATTTCTCCTGATCCAGTCCTGATCTAGTTCCCTGAATCCTGATCCATTTCCCCTGATCCAGTCCTGATCTAGTTCCCTGAATCCTGATCCATTTCCCCTGATCCAGTCCTGATCTAGTCTCCTGAATCCTGATCCATTTCCCCTGATCCAGTCCTGATCTAGTCCCCTGAATCCTGATCCATTTCTCCTGATCCAGTCCTGATCTAGTTCCCTGAATCCTGATCCATTTCTCCTGATCCAGTCCTGATGTAGTTCCCTGAATCCTGATCCATTTCTCCTGATCCAGTCCTGATCTAGTCCCCTGAATCCTGATCCATTTCTCCTGATCCAGTCCTGATCTAGTTCCCTGAATCCTGATCCATTTCCCCTGATCCAGTCCTGATCTAGTCTCCTGAATCCTGATCCATTTCCCCTGATCCAGTTTGGATCTAGTCCCCTGAATCCTGATCCATTTCTCCTGATCCAGTCCTGATCTAGTCCCCTGAATCCTGATCCATTTCCCCTGATCCAGTTTGGATCTAGTCCCCTGAATCCTGATCCATTTCTCCTGATCCAGTCCTGATCTAGTCCCCTGAATCCTGATCCATTTCTCCTGATCCAGTCCTGATCTAGTTCCCTGAATCCTGATCCATTTACCCTAATCCAGTCCTGTCATCCTGCTTCCAAACCAGGAGATACCTGCTGTCATTCAGCATCTAGTTTCTTCAGTGTGATTCTTACCCTGACCTTTAACTAAGACCATGACCAGAACCAGAATCCGAACCAGTTTGTCCTTTCCTTCAGAGAGAACCCACAGTAGACCTGCTGGACTCCTTCATTGATCACTGGAGATCGGTCACTACCTGCTACATCCAGACCTCAGGTGAGCAGCTTTTTGCTTCAGAGTCAAAGTTTCACCGGGTCAGCTGATACCTGTGTGTGTGTGTAGATGACAGCTGTCCCGTCAGCCAGACTGATATCCCGTGGCGTCTCAGACAGATGTTGGACATCCTGGTTTACGAGGAGACACAACTGGTAACTACTGAAACACGTCGTTGATGCAACGCTGTCGTTATGTTGACTCTTTGGTGGTATTGAACCAGGCTGTGGAGGACACGGGACCCTGTCTAGAGTACCTGCTGGAACACAAGCTGCTGGAAACTCTGTGCATGCTGGGAAAAGCTCAGGTAATCAAACTGGGAGACACACTGGTCAAATAGATTAGTGAAGACCAGGACCATATCCCCATGGGGCTGTCACATGTATTACGTAGAGTAATATTTATGTGACTCAAGGTGGTACAGCTTCTTAAACGGACATGAACGTTGCCAACCTACACACAACTTTTCATTTTTTTATTATCAAATTTATTGACATGGGAAAAATTATCTCGATAAGTCAGAGATTTTGATAACAATAGAATAGAATAGAATAGAATAATCCTTTAATAGTCCCACAAGGGGAAATTTGGTTGTGTCAGCAGCAACATCACACATATACAAACAATGCAGGACACAGAACAGAAGCACAGTTATTACCTATTTACATCATGGACAATAGTTACCAGAGCAGAGTACAATACAGTTGTTTATATAGGCGCACACATAATGTGTAAGCATAGCAGGATACTGAAGATGTTAAAATAGTTTTAAAAGTTTAAGATGATTAAAAGAGTGCAGATTGTTTATTTTTTACCCGTTCATTAAAAAATAGACATGTAGCCTTCAATAAATTATTGCATGTATAAGCTGAGAAAAAGTAATGTGTAAGTTATAATTGTAGAAGTTATTACAGCACTGATGCCGACAACTGTTTTTTTTGGGAGCAGTTCTGATTGTACAGTCTAACAGCTGCAGGGAGGAAGGACCTTCGGAAACGCTCCTTCATGCATCTAGGATGCAGCAGTCTGTCACTAAAGGAGCTCTGCAGTTCAGCAACATTTACATGCATGGGGTGGGAGACTCTGTCCATCAGAGATGTTATTTTGGCCAGAGACCTTCTGTCTCCCACCACCTGCACTGGGTCTAGGGTGCATCCTAGAACAGAGCTGGCCTTCCTGATGAGTTTATCCAACCTCTTCCTCTCAGCTGCCAATAAACTGCTGCTCCAACATACCACACTGTAAAAAATGACAGATGCTACCACAGAGTCATAGAAGCTCTTTAAAAGCGCTCCCTGTACCCCAAATGACCTCAGCCGCCTCAGCAGGTAGAGTCTGCTCTGACCCTTCCTATAAAGAGCATCCGTGTTGTGGCTCCAGTCCAGTTTATTATTCAGGTGAACACCCAGGTACCTATAAGAGTCCACTATCTCAATGCCCACTCCCTGGATGTTCACCGGTGTCACTGTGGTGGGTCTGCGTCTCCTGAAATCCACCACCAACTCCTTGGTTTTCCCGGCGTTGATCAGCAGGTGGTTCTGCTGACACCAGTCCACAAAGTCCAGAGTCCCCTGTCTGTACTCTGAGTCATCCTCACCTGTGATGAGGCCAATACATTTTCGATTTATTGCCCAGCCCTAAACACACCTGTTTCAGTGTTTGTAGTGAAGAGGAAGTAGCCTAGAATTCTAGAGCAGCCATGGCGGTTGCTCTGCAGGTCGGTGTAGCACGCTCTATGGCAGGGGTGCCCAATCCTGGTCCTGGAGGGCCGGTATCCAGCAGGTTTTGTGTTTTTTCTGCTCCAACACACTTGACTAACTGGTTGAATCACCTGTGCAGAATCTCATCAGGCTCTGCAGAAGCCTGTTAATCACCTGCTGATTGAAATCAGGTGTGTTGAAGCAGAATTAAAACTAAAACATGCTGGATACCGGCCCTCTGGGACCAGGATTGCGCACCCCTGCTCTATGGTGACCTCAGTAGGTTACCATTGGCCCGATCAGTTTTGTCTGGCCAACCACAGCACTCTATGTTTGTTGGGCAGGGTTAATACTAGAGCTGAGATGGAGAAAAACAACAAAGATGGCGTTGACTCGAGTATGGCGCTCATTTGAAAAGGTTTTGGCATTAACATTTAGCGATTTAGATTTGAGGTATTTTTGAGACGTGAGCAGATGGAGGTACTTAAGTCATTCATTTAAAAAAAGGATGTGTTTGCTTCTTCTTCTTTGTTGGTGAATGGTGGACTACCTCATTAACACATTGCCGTAGTGATGAATACGCCGTGCTGTTCGTTGCTCTGATTGATCTTAGTGAAGTCCAACTATGTGCAGAGACCGTTTGAAAAACAACTGTAGATTATGCCCCATGCTAAAGAAGCCTTTGTAACACGCCACATGTGCGTGGGTACTTGGTAACACGCCACATGTGAGTGGGTACGTGGTAACACGCCACATGTGCGTGGGTACGTGATAACACGTCACGGGTCCGAGGGTACGTGGTAACACGTCACGGGTCCGAGGGTACGTGGTAACACGTCACAGGTGCGAGGGTTCTTTGTAACACGTCACAGGTGCGAGGGTTCTTTGTAACACGTCACGGGTGCGTGGGTACGTGGTAACACGTCACAGTTGCGTGGGTACGTGGTAACACGTCACAGTTGCGTGGGTACGTGGTAACACGTCACAGTTGCGTGGGTACGTGGTAACACGTCACAGTTGCGTGGGTACGTGGTAACACGTCACGGGTGCGTGGGTACGTGGTAACACGTCACGGGTGCGTGGGTACGTGGTAACACGTCACAGGCGCGAGGGTACTTTGTCACACGTCACCGGTGCGTGGTAACACGTCACGGGTGCGTGGGTGCATGTCACGGGTGTGAGGGTACTTTGTAACACGTCACAGGTGTGTGGGTACATGGTAACATGTCACAGGTGTGTGGGTACGTGGTAACATGTCACAGGTGTGTGGGTACGTGGTAACACGTCACGGGTGCGTGGGTACGTGGTAACACGTCACAGGTGCGAGGGTACTTTGTAACACGTCACCGGTGCGTGGTAACACGTCACGGGTGCGTGGGTGCATGTCACGGGTGTGAGGGTACTTTGTAACACGTCACAGGTGTGTGGGTACGTGGTAACATGTCACAGGTGTGTGGATGCTCAATAGAGTAAGACTTTTCTCCTCTTCGTCAGTATCCTCCTGGGATGTTCCAGCAGGTTCTGCTCTTTTTCAACAAGCTGTTGACTCGCATGCAGAAACCTCTCCTGGAGCTCATCAGAGTCTACAGACCTGTTCAGGTGAGCCACACAAAGACAGCCCAAGTATTACAGAGTAACTCAGAACTCCTGGGACTGCACCCTCTGCACCAGAACCGTTCTACAGGTTCATTACAAAGACTTGATTCCTGCAACAGCTGAGAGATTTATTCCCTGTGTTCTGGTTAGATTTCTCATAAATGTTGGATGATCTCAGCCAACAGTCATGTGACTCCTCTGTGTCTGCTCCTCTCCCAGAGGCTGATTAACCTCTGTGCACTTCCTGGTTGTCATGTTGAGAAGGAGGAAGTTCAGTTCCTATTGGCTGTCTGTTCCAGGGTCAAACAGGATCCACACACCCTCAGATGTGTCCTGGAGGTGAGCTGCTGCAGTAACGTCCTGTTTGATCATCAGTTGACTCACGTCATTTGTGTTCTCAGCTCCTAGAACAACCTCCAGGTCTCAACCAATCACAGCACAGCACACAAGCCTCCAACCAATGCACAGATCCAGCCTGTAGTCATTCACAGACCTCTGCATCCTGCCCTGTCCAATCAGAGTCCTCTGCAACCAGCCCTGTCCAATCAGAGTCCTCTGCAACCAGCCCTGGCCAATCAGAGTCCTCTGCAACCAGCCTTGTCCAATCAGAGTCCTCTGCAACCAGCCCTGGCCAATCAGAGTCCTCTGCAACCAGCCCTGGCCAATCAGAGTCCTCTGCAACCAGCCCTGGCCAATCAGAGTCCTCTGCAACCAGCCTTGTCCAATCAGAGTCCTCTGCAACCAGCCCTGGCCAATCAGAGTCCTCTGCAACCAGCCCTGGCCAATCAGAGTCCTCTGCAACCAGCCTTGTCCAATCAGAGTCCTCTGCAACCAGCCCTGGCCAATCAGAGTCCTCTGCAACCAGCCCTGGCCAATCAGAGTCCTCTGCAACCAGCCCTGGCCAATCAGAGTCCCGTGTCTCTGGCGCTGTCCAGACAAACAGGGGGCTATTGTGGGCTCTGCTGCAGCTCACAAAGAGTCAGGTGAGTTAACGACTAATTAAAACAGGAAGTCATGACAGAAGCTGCAACTGTGGATTATTTTTGTTTGAATAAAACTTTATTGATCGTCTGATGCAAAGAACACCACAGCAGTGGTCTGTTAATCACTTATTTGTTTTTAGTGACGAATCTGTTCTGACGAGGACATTTTCCTCTAAACCTTCTGAACCAATGGGTCGACATGGCCCAGTTACACCGGTTCAGTTCATAAAGGTTCTGTTCCGACTCGGGTATAGAAGGGCACCACTTCGCTCCTGAGGATGAAGGGTCATGATGACAATGATGATGTGATTCTTCACCAGAGAGCGTCTGTTCGTCAGAAGGCATCTGAGGGCCTCCTCCTGCTAGCAGGGCTTCTGGATGGATCCTCGGGTGAGCTGCTACCTGCTGCAGTCTCTCTAGCGGAGCTGCTGGCTGAGAGGCTGCAGGAGCTGCATCGCCTGCTGCCTCTGGACCAACTGGATGCTACTGAGCTGCAACGGTGGCCTTGCACTAGCTGGAGGTAGGTAAGACCACCTGTCCCCATGGTAACGCCTCTGTCAGGGCAGCTGCGGCTACACTGCATCTCATCAGCGTGTGAACGGGTGAATGATGCACTGTAGTGTGGGTCATTGATCGTCACGGTAACCGACACACTCATACAGGTGTGGCTGGTGACGGCGTGGTCCCGTGTAGGATGGCGGTGGTAAATGTTCTTTGCTTACGGTCCTCAGGTCAGAAGTAGAGCCTGGTCACATGACGAGTTTCTTCACCTGGTTTGACTTCCTGGATCACCTGATGTGTGAGGCTCCACAGGTATGCTCGCCGGTTACAGCTGATGCTCTCTGAACTCACAGGACCTGGAAAGGTTCTGGAGGATCCATCCGTCCAGTCACTCTGCATGTACACTTGCAGGTGTTGTCTGTGCAGGTGTCTCAGAGTGTCCACCGGCGGTGGCTCGTGGACACTCTTCATCCTCAACTGTCGCACACGTGAGCCCCTTTTCCTTCTTTTCCTGATGCTTGTTCTCACCCGAAGGGGCGGAGCCTCACTCGTGTCCCTGTGCGTGTTTTGCTCAGATGTGAGAAAGTGGTGCTCGTCTCCACATCGATGCTCTGTGCTACCATCAGACTCGTCCAGTCTTCCTTCTTATTGGACCAGATGGTCCACTTCCTGTTGAGGACACCGTCTTTGATGCGGCTGCTTCTGCGACACTGCAACCACATCTCTGACCAAGTAGGGCTGTGACTGCAGGACACGCCCACCCCCACATATGGCCGCTCACTGTCTTTGTGTGTCTTAGATCAGCATGGCGTCGATGAGTCTGGTGGACGAGATGCTACAGAAGCCTCATAGGGACATTTTGGACATTCTAGTGTTGAGTTTCCTCCAGAGTCGCTGTTACGTGTCCGCAGCTGCAGACGGACAAGAGGACAAACAGCTGGAGACGAATGAGGACAGCCAGTAGGTCCAGAATGCATGTTCCGGAGAGACGCATGTCTCGATGTGCTGTGAGACTGACCGGTGCCTTGCGTCCACCAGAGACCTGGATGATGACCCCTTCTTCTCCGATGGGCTCTCAGACGGACCTCCTGCTCAGCCCATCAATGAAGACGTGGTGAACAGGTAAACGGCAGGGACAGCGTGCGGGAGCAGAAACACCTGGCCTGGTCTGTTTCATCAAGTCTGAGCAGAACCTTTAGAACATCTGCTTTGTGGGTCTGGTGGGTTTAGGCTGTTAGGCTGAGCCTAACCTGCAAGCATCTCCTCCATCGCCCCCTAAAGGCGGAGGGGAGACCAGCAGGAAGATTCTCACACGCTAGTAGAACTCATCTCCATGGAAACGGCAGCAAAAACACTTCAGGCTTTCAGCTAAAACGGTGAAAACTGAAAGAGTTGCTCCTCTGAGAGCAGGAGGGTGTGATGAGAACAAATTCAACCTGATTCTGAGGATTCTGCTGCCCTGAGTTTGGTCTGACAGGTTCTGCTTCTGTGCTCTTCTGTTGAACATGTGTACTGATCCATCGCTGTCTGTGTAGTTTCTTGTGTTTGGTTCCGATTCAGGCCCGGTCGGCTCACCTGCTGCAGGAAGGAGGCTATGAGTCATACGTACATGATGCTCACACCCTGGTCAGAACACACACACACACAGATCAGTTTACAAGTAAAAACAATATTTTGACCGATAAAACATCTGAAACTGTCTAAAAAAAGCCGTCTCGTTACGACCGGACTGCAAACCGTGCAGGTTTAACTTTAACTTCTTTCAGAAGATCACCAGGACGCTGCGCCATCTTCTCCTCCCGCTATGAAGCCTGCTTTTTCCTGTCAGAGAACCACTCTGCCATCTAGTGGTCATTTCTCATGACCTTTCATCACGTTTTCATGGCTCATGAGCGCATGTTAGCCAAACAGACCATGTTAGATGATTATAGATTAAATGTAGGTCTATCTTTTATGACTACACGATCCGGAGGTACCATAGTTTTAAACTGAAAAAATATTTGTCCCATCAACACAAATTTAGACACACACACACACAAAATTCATCGTATTAGTTGCAGCCATTAAATGGAAGGAGGTATTACCTATTAGATCTTGCTCTTCCAACTGTAACTCCTAACAAAAGTCACATCCACATAAACATCTAACACGCCTGCCTTGTTACTGACGTTCACCCTACAGGACTAACAGCTGATGCTGATGACATCACTCCCTCGCTGACGGCTGTGTCAGCCTGCTAAAGGGTTAAATAAAACAAACCGGGTGCATGGCCCTTTAAGGCAGAATGCTGATGCTCCTGAAGGCTCCTGGGAAATATTTGATGTTTTTGCCTCCAAAAGATTCCAGGAGCCTCTTGAGGAAATGTTCCTGCGCCAACCGCCCTCACCGTAACCATGCAGTCTGCTCCCCGTTGTTTGTCTGCACTCACCTAAAGGATTATTAGGAACGCCTGTCCAACTTCTCCTTAATGCAGTTATCTAATCAACCAATCACATGGCAGTTGCTTCAGTGCATGTAGGGGTGTGGTCCTGGTCAAGACCATCTCCTGAGCTCCAAACTGAAGGTCAGAGTGGGAAAGAAAGGTGATTGAAGCTATTTTGGTTGTTGGTGCCAGACCGGCCAGTCTGAGTATTTCACAGTCTGCTCAGTTACTGGGATTTTCACCCACAACCATTTCTAGGGTTTACAAAGAATGGTGTGAAAAGGGAAAAACATCCAGTATGCAGCAGTCCTGTGGGGGAAAATGCCTTGCTGACGCTAGAGGTCAGAGGAGAACGGGCCGACTGATTCAAGCTGATAGCAGAGCCTCACCCTAACCCTCGTTACAACCGAGGAATGCAGCAAGGCATTTGTGAAGCCACATCACGCACAGCCTTGAGGCGGATGGACTACAGCAGCAGAAAACCCCACCGGGTACCACTCACCTCCACTACAAACAGGAAAAAGAGGCTGCAATGTGCACCAGCTCACCAAAACTGAGCAGTTGAAGACTGGAAAAATGCTGCCTGGTCTGATGAGTCTCCATTTCTGTTGAGACGTCCAGATGGTCGAGTCAGAATTTGGCGTAAACAGAATGAGAACATGGATCCATCATGCCTTTTGTGCAGGCTGGTGGTGGTGGTGTCATGGTGTGGGATGTTTTCTTGGCACACTTTAGGCCCCTTAGTGCCGAATGGGCATGGTTTAATAGCCACGGGCTACCTGAGCATTGTTTCTGAGCACGTCCATCCCTTCATGACCACCGTGTACCCGTCCTCTGATGGACGGGTACACGGTGGTCATGAAGGGATGGTCCAATCATCTCAAGCTGGTTTCTTGAACATGACGATGAGTTCACCGTACTACAACGGCCCCCACAGATCTCAACCCGATAGAGCATCTTTGGGATGAGGTGAAACGGGAGCTCCGTGCCCTGGATGTGCATCCCACACGTCTCCATCAGCTGCAAGATGTCATCCTGTCAATATGGCCGACATTTCTAAAGAACGCTTTCAGCACCTTGTTGGATCAACGCCACGTAGAATTAAGGCCGTTCTGAAGGAGTATCAGTATGGTGTTCCTAATAGTCCTTTAGGTGAGTGTATGTTAGCAACGGTAACTAAGGAGGGCGGGACTTAGAGCCACAGGTAAATTCAGTTCAAGCACCTCCATCCTAGGTTCTAATCTGGCCTGATCATGTGACCCTCTTACCTGTTTGCTCGGGTATGGGACATTAGCATATCTAATTCTGACTTGAACTCCTACTTTAAATTTACATGACGCCTGGCAACAGCTCAGAATTCTCTCTGCTCACCTGTGTGACTCCACCTCTGTCTGTCAGGTGACCATGTGCCACGCCCTCTCTCTGTCCTGGGAGTGGCCACAGACTCTGCCGTGCCCCACCTGTCTCTCAGAGCAAGACGCAGACTTCTTTGAAGGTGACTTGCTGAAAGTTCTCTTTGACCGACTGGGTTGCATCCTGGAGCAAGTACGCACACCTGAGAAGCACACCTGTTGATCACGCCTGTGGTCAGAAGCACCTGGTTGCCATGGTAAATGTGCTGTGTGTTTTAGCCTTACGAGCTGAGTCTGAAGCTGACGTCGGTTCTGTCCAGACTCTCAGCCTTCAGTCACCCGCTGCTGGACGAGTACCTGCTCGACCCCTACGTCCACCTGTCTCCAGGCTGCAGGTCGCTCTTCTCCGTCCTCATCAGGGTAAGACGAGCTGCGGGGGCGACGGGGCTTCGGGAACAGAACTGTGCCTAAACAGGTGCCCTTCAGACTTGACACCAGTGTTTCCTGTTGTTCTAAAGTGGTTAGACGAGTATCAGAACCAGTTCCAGTCACCAACTGGTTCTGGGCAGGTTCTCCTCTGGGGACATGGGTCTGAGAGGTGAGACAGGTGTTCCAGATGGAGCCCCACGGGTTCTGAGCACACCTTCTCATGGAAACCTGATCTGGACCCGGATGTTGCTGGATGTCCAACTAACCTGAACACTTTCAGACCCGTGGGTTCCCCTCAGGTTATCCTGCGGTGGAGGATTCCAGCTTTAGGACAGACTGATGAGTCTTGTCTCACCTGTCTGTTTCTCAGGTGATGGCAGAAGTGATGCAGAGGATCCAGCAAGTGTCTGACCTGTCCGAGCAGTTGTTGGATACCAGGAGACACCTGCTGGGACTGAGCCAGCATACTGGGTACCCGACTCACTCCGACACTAAACAGATCTTTCACAGATAATCAGCTGTTTGCCACGATTTTCTACCTGAGTCGTTTTCTGTGGGCGTGTCTTCAGATCGGAACACCTGACACTTCTCAAGGGGATCATCGTCCTTGAGGAGTTCTGTAAGGAACTTGCTGCAATCGCCTTTGTCAAGAAGCCTCTGAATCGAGACTGACTCGCCTGGAGCAGGAATCACCTGGACGTGTACCTCTGTGGGGATATCACCAGGTGCATCTCGCCTGAGGACCAGCAGCACGTGCACCTGAGGAACGCCTGGTTGAACCAAGAGACCAGTGTCTCACCTGAGTTTGGATAGGAGCCGACAGAAGTGGCATCTTGTCTTTGGGAGGCGATGAACCACGTGATCACCTTTTGTCACTATTTAAGCCACGCCCACTTTCTGTGCAGCTCGCTAAATGCCTCCTACCTGTAGTAAGGATTTATTACCTGTCAGCCAGTCACGTGACACAAAGGAACCCGACGAGGACAATAAAACTGAACAGGTCTCCGGAATCAAAGATCCAGACCAGGACCTGAGAGCTGCACCTGATCCAGGTGCAGCACCACCAGATTTACTGTTTTATTTCCTTAAATGTGTTTTATGTTAAAGACGGAATCCTCAAACCATCGTTGTGTTTCTCTACTTTCTTTACTCTTAAGCTCAGAGTCAGACACAGTCTGGGCCGACCAGAACCTCCACATGCCTACATCACTAGTGGTTCATGTGAACTCTGTAATGAGTCACCTGTTCTGATTCTTTATCAGGAATTGAATCGTTTTAGATCAGCAGTCTGGAACGCCTCCCAACACACCTGGTTTTAGGTGACTGACAGGCTTTTGACACCTGCTGAACAACTGAATCACACACTCCCTATAACGTTAGGATTTTCAAAATAAGGCTCTGGGACTTTTATTGTGAAGGTCTGACGGAACTCCGTGTGTGTGTGTGTGCGCGCGCCTGCAGCATCCTTGCGGCAGAGCAAAAAGGAGGAGGAAGTGAAGGTCACAGCTGCAGGAGCATCCTCAGCCTCCCGATCCATCAGCAGCTTGACCGGCCGGACCGAGCGGCACGCCGAACCGCCGCCGTCATGGGGAACCGGGGCATGGAGGAGCTGATCCCGCTGGTGAACCAGCTGCAGGACGCCTTCTCCTCCATCGGTCAGAACGCAGACCTGGACCTGCCGCAGATCGCGGTGGTGGGCGGACAGAGCGCCGGGAAGAGCTCGGTGCTGGAGAACTTCGTGGGGAAGTGAGTCCGAACCGGGCCCAGCGGTCTGTCTGCATGTGTGTGTTGGCAGAACCGGACCGGGTTGCTGTGTGTTACATCACGTGATTACGATTCGTGTTTGAGCTGCGATTCCGTTTATTCTCAAAACCGCTGATTGATTATTGACGCTCCTGATTGGCCTGATGATCACGTGGTCAGTAACACCGGCATTAAGATCGCAGGTGAGACTGGTGAGACAGATCCTCACCTGATACGAAAAGGTGCGCGTGTCAGGTCACTGGATTAGGCAAAACTCAGGGATTAGCAGCAGGTGAGGAGGCGGACTGAGGTGGTCTTTGGGTCCTTACAGGTCCCAGTCCAGCTGACAGCCGCAGACCTGCGGTGGGATGACATTAAATAAGCGCGCCCACCCCCCACCCCAGGTCTCTGTGGTTCTGCAGGTCTCTATAGGTCCCTGCAGGTATCTGGACCCTTGCAGATCTCCAGGTCCCAGCAGGTCTTTGTGGTTCTGCAGATCTCCAGGTCCCAGCAGGTCTTTGGGGTTCTGCAGGTCTGTGAGGTGTTTGAACTGTTTTCCACCAGACTGGATCAGAAAGACTACCAAATGTCTGACGCTCATTAGGAACACCAGACTTGCTGAAAGAATATTAAGTGTTGCGCGCGCGCGCTCGCACACACGCACTGATTATCTGAACTAGTTGAATTATGGCTGAATTTAAACCTAAACACTCATCAGGTTTTAGTTTTTCTGTCTCTGACCTGAGATCAGCGGTCAGCAGCGTCGGCTCCTGGCTGGGACTCGTCCGCTTGTTCCACGTTCATATATTTTGTTGGAGAATCAAGTTCAGAAGGTTTCTTAGTGCTGGTTCGTGATGTTCCAGTCAAATAAACGAGAGCATCGTGAGGTCTGGATGCGTTTAGGGTTCTACGTGTGTCTGTTTTATCCCTGCAGAACGTCCCAGTGCTGGACAGAATGATGTCCTGGGTCTTGAGATGTTTGGATAGAAGACCTCTTTAAGTCAGAATCAGAACAGCACAGGTCCAACATCTCCACCCAAACACTCTTCACAGGGTCCATGGAACCTTCAGCCTGTAGGTGGACAGAAACCAGCTCTGCCGAAACGTTCTGGTGTTTCTAAACATCTTTTGAATTCAAATTTTAAAATCTTTCTGACCAAAGCAGTGAATTAATCCTGGTTTCTGCAGCAAATCACTTCATTGGACACTTTGAAGTGAGAAGATCAGAGCTGAGGACAGCAGGTCTGAGGTCTGTAGTTTGAGTCCTTCTGAAAGCTGACTCCTGATTGGCTGATTATTTTTATCTTCGGCCTGGGGGGGGGGCGCTCTGTCTGGATCCCTGCTCTCATTGGTCGCTGCTGATCACATGATCCTCGACAGCTTCAGTCAAATCATGGCACGACAATACCACCGTGTGTGTGTGTGTGTGTGTGTGTGTGTGTGTGTGTGTGTGTGTGTGTGTGTGTGTGTGTGTGTGTGTGTGTGTGTGTGTGTGTGTGTGTGTGTGTGTGTGTGTGTGTGTGTGTGAGAGAGAGAGAGAGAGAGAGAGAGAGAGAGAGCTAGAGATCCACACCGTCTGAATTTTGTAATATTTTTCTTGAGCAGCAGCGTTTGTATAAGATTCACATCATGTTAAAATAGAATAAGTTTGTGACGCTCAAACTGGTCTGCTGCCTCGTTTAGCCGATACTTTTTACCAGGACTAAAGGCTTTAGGCAGTAAACTGTCATATTTTACTGATCATCCATCCATTTTCATCCGCTTATCCAGAGTCGGGTCGCAGGGGCAGCAGCCTGAGGCCCAGACTTCCCTCTCCCCAGCCACTTGGGCCCAGCTCCTCTCCGGGGGAATCCCAAGGCGTTCCCTGGCATTTACTCATCATACCAAACAAACATCTGCCCCCCTGTCAGCTGTTTCCTGCTGGAACAAACCAGTTATATTAAAATCTGAGAGTACTGCAGCTGCAGGTGAGTTAGGATTGCACGGTTCTGGTGGGTCGACTGATCTAACACCGGACCCAAATAGGACAGCTTTAGGGACTCAGCTGATCAGGCTGTCGTCATCACGGACCAGGAAATCCTCACGGTCTCTAAAACTGTCACCGACCAGATCCTGCCATTAGTGGGATCTTTGAGAGCATCCTTTGTGTTTTACATGTCTACTCAGTAATCACACTCATTAATACACACCTTATCACGATCAATGCACTAATAAGTGCAATTGCTGCATAATTTGAAGATGTACATTCAATTCATCCATCCACTGATTTATCTCTTAAATGCCACATATTCGTTCAGGTTCTCATCTTATTCTCAGTTCAGAGTCAAGGATGCTGACGTGTGTGTGTGTGTGTGTGTGTGTGTGTGTGTGTGTGTGTGTGTGTGTGTGTGTGTGTGTGTGTGTGTGTGTGTGTGTGTGTGTGTGTGTGTGTGTGTGTGTGTGTGTGTGTACGTACGAGGATCTACATGTCTAAAAATATCTGAAATGTGGCTTTAATTCTCTATTTTGTCATTTCACCGGCTGTGCAGCCACTTTTCCTAAAGCGTGCTTTTGCCTGGGTCAGGGTTTAAAGTTGTGAAATTTTCCCACTAAATCAAAACAATGGCCAAGAATGAATGAGTCCAGAACGCAGCGGCGCGTCTGGTCTTCAATCAGCCAAAAAGAGCACACGTCATCCCTCTGTTCATTGAGCTCCACTGGCTACCGCTAGCAGCACGCATCAAATTCAAATTGCTAACACTAGCATACAAAGTCCGAGACGGTACGGCTCCCATCTACCTGAATCCTCTTGCAAAGGCTTACGTCTCAGCCCGGCCGCTCCGGTCATCACAGGATCGTCGGCTAGCAGTGCCTACACCACGCTCAGGACAATCCAGACTCTTCTCATGCATCGTTCCACAAATGTGGAATGACCTTCCAAGCACTACCAGAACAGGGGCTTCCTTTTCAATTTTCAAGAAACTCCTGAAGACCCTGCTCTTCAGAGAGCATCTTCTAAACTAGCACCTTGCCTGCACCTGTCCCCCTCTCTACCGTCCACTCCTTGTTCCCTCCTCTCCAGGATTCATCATGCTGCCTTACTGCGACCTACGATTGACTAAAAATTGTTTGTTGTTGTTGTTAGCCTCAAGGGCAACATGCCGATTATCACTTGTAAGTCACTTTGGACAAAAGCGTCTGCTAAAAACATAAACATGAACATAAATCTCAAAGTTTACGTCGAAAGTGACTTGTGCAACTTTTAAACCCAGTTTTTCGTAAGCCATCTTTATAAAGAGAGCCCTGACGTGTTCCACAGATAACCTGAACAGACCGATGAGCAGCTGACTACAAACGACTGTTTCTGTTCTTAGTTCTGCGTGTAAAGAATCTCTTCCAGCATCGTCTCCAGTTCCGCTGGGCGATGTCGGTCAGCCGGAGGAACCTGGCGTTGTGGTTTCACCCAGAAGTGTCAAAAGGATTCACACTTATTACTTGGATAGAAGATAGTTGTTAGGGTTGAAAAGACTTTTGTGGAATTTGCAAAAGCAAAATAAAAGTACTGGTTTGAAAATTAAAAACAGAAGAAATGTAAAAACAACGTAAGTCAAATAAAATGCCCTTGTGGGCAAAATCTTGGGTGAAACTACAGAACTACCACCCCTCCTAGACCAAAATGACTGTAACGTTATATAAAAGTGTAAACATTGACTAATGTGGGACGCAGTAGGCTACCCATTTGAGCCGTGTATGCTAGTTCCCTCTATCCCGATGGTGTTAAGGTGGTGACAAGCCGAAGTGAAACAGGAGTAAGGAGGACATTAGTAGAAAGTAAAACAATGGCCAAGAATGAACGAGGTATAGATTTATATTTAACAAAGTATTTGTACTACAACAAATACGGTATTCTTACTGGTCCAAACAGTGGACAATAAGGAGAAAAGAGCTGCGGATGACGTGCGTCGGCCAGCGCATTGCCTTTGGCTCCCCATTTCAACTGCCCAGTCGTAGGATGAGGCGGGGGGGGGGGGTCATCGAGATAGGTAATTTACACCGACACTGACTATGGAACTAGACTTGTTTATTTCTTATTTGTCTAATAGAATCAAGTTTGTTTATGTTGATGACAAATTCTGCTCCTGCACCAGAGTTTGTCTTGGAGTTCCTCAGGTTTTAGTGCTTGGGCCCAGAACTTCCATTGGGTCCTTTTTTTTTTAGACATCGCAGGATACATTTCCATTGTGCAGATGATCTTCAGTTATCAACACCATTCTTGGAAAATCAATTAGTCTGAAATGAGTTTTGGTATTTACAACTTCATGTCCTTCCTCACAGGGACTTCCTGCCTCGCGGTTCAGGAATTGTCACTCGGCGCCCTCTGGTGCTTCAGCTCATCAACTGCCCAACCGGTGAGGATGTACCACGGTCCTTATCTTGTGTTAATCTTTAGAGACTTTAGTCATCTCTCTTTGAAGTCCACTACCATATTTTTTGTATTTGCCACATTGTCTCTGCATAGGCATGTACTTATTGTTGGAGATCAGAGCAAAAACAAATAACAGTAGATGTGTCGCCTATTAACATGACAATCTGATCACCAAAGTCTAAAAAGTCGCGCATGGATTCTTCATGGGCCTTGGGACACTTCCTAGTGGAGAGCCAGTGTGGAGCACAATGGAGGAAGAGGATGGTAAATGGCCTGTATCTGATATAGCGCCTTCTAGAGTCCTGGAACCCCCCAAGGCGCTTGACAACACAACCAGTCTTTCACCCATTCACACACACATTCACACTTTGGTGGAGATGAGCTACAATGTAGCCACAGCTGCCCTGGGACGCGCTGACAGAGGCGAGGCTGCCGAGCACTGGCACCACCGGTCCCTCCGACCACCACCAGCAGGCAACGTGGGTTAAGTGTCTTGCCCAAGGACACAATGACAGCGACAGACTGAGCGGGGCTCGAACCTGCAACCTTGCGATTACGGGGCGAGCACTTAGAGTAACTCCTGTGCCACCATCGCCCACATGGATCTTTAGAGTTTGTTGTCCACCAGGTTTGATGAGAAGGTCAGAGAAGAACATGTGCTGCTGGACTATCTCTGATCCATAAGGAGGAAGGGGGAGATCTGACCAGCAACGCTGTTGTAATGAAATAGATTACAGTTACTTAATGAGCCATAAGGCGTGGGATTCCTTAGGAAATATGAAATCCACCTTACGGAACGGTGGGTTGTTTAAACCAGAAAATTGGATCTTTTTATTGCAGGGATTAGATAACCGCTTCGTATTCTCTCAGAGACAACAGAAGAGAGAGAGTCAAGTTTAAAAGTTAAGAATTATATTACTAACAAATTAAACTAGGCTGACTTTAAACACTAAGTGTATGGTGTAACTAAAATGGATGAGACGATGAATGGATGACGTGTGATGTTGCTCAAAACCAACAAATCCGAAGAATCGATTGTTCTGATGGGAACTGAAGGTGTTGTTTTCGCATTAAGCTTTGGTTCGGAAGTTCAGAAACACATGAGACACCATCATGCCGGTCTACCTACCCTTCGTGGAAGTCCTCTGTAGATCAGGAATATCGAGGTCCATTGACCCTCTCTGGAACCGAGCCGGTAGGAAAAGCCGCGGTTCCGATCAGACCCGTCTTTGAGTGACTTCCGGGTACACGACAAGTTGTTGGCGTTTTGTGAGACCCAAGCCTGGGTCTGGATATTTCAGCTTTTATTCTGAAAGGAACTGTTGTCGCTGTTGGAATAGCGACAAATTTTTCAGCTTGTCGTTCTTTCGGTTAAAGAGTTTAGATCGGGATTGGCCACTCCATCGCTTTCTCCGGAACGCTTTGAACTGGCGTTAGAGCGGACGTGGCGTAGTTTTATACTTTGGATGTCATGGTTTATGGTCAAATGAAAAATGACCAAACACCATCATAACCACGCCTCCGTCAGATCTGTAAGATTCTGATTGGATCAGTGAAAGTAATGTGTCTTGTCTTTTAACGCTACGTGAGATCAGTCCTAGTGGAAACATTTAAAGTCACAGTACCTTTATATTCTATAGGATTATAATAAAGTAATTAATATTTTGATTTCACAGATCGGTCACATCTTATTTATTGACTAACACTTTGATGGATTAGCTTGATTAAAATAGAGTTCTTTGATTAATTAAAAGAAAAGAGTTCATTCTTCATTCTTCTGTTGAGCTGAAAATAAGCAGGTTAGAAGGAATGCATGAGACCTTGAGTTACATCTCATGCAGACTAGTCTTGAGCAAAGAAGGGGAAAAACACAGTCTTCCGTCCCGTTAC